AGATTAGTGGTGACGGCGATAGTGCATCACATTGAGTGATCAGTGAGGTGTAAGGGAGTAGAAGGTGCTCTTCAAATTAGATAAGACACATCTTTTTTTATGCGGATCTTAGTTCATTCATTTTATTCATTCCATTCATTTCGTTCATTTCATTAATTTCTTTCATTTCATTTCATTGAGTGAGGTGTGAGTAAATGGGAGTTGCTCTTCAAATTAGATAAGACGCATCATTTTATTTTATTTCGCGTGTCTTAATTAAGTCTTAACTAATTGATTTTAACATATTAAATATAATGTAATGCCTGAACTATTTATTATTATTTTTTGCTGAAATAGCGCTACCTTAGCCTTGGTACATAAATTTAGTTGATAAGATCAATGACAAAATCATCAATCTCTTCAATTTTAAAGATATCTGCATGACATATTGTTATAGAATAAGGATGACAAACGAGTATCCTCGATAAAGAATTAAAATGTAGATGTGTTGTCACCCCTGGAGATTGAGATGCGATGCCTCGTTTCCAGTACAAGGAGTCTCCGGTTCTTTATACTCAATACACAAAACACAGCAGCTAAATGATGCTGTTTTACGTAAGTATTATGTGAGGGCGTGGTACTTCCCCGATCAAGCCGACACATTCGTGCTACAAACAAGCAGCATGGTTCTAGCAGGTACACGAGCATATTTCTTAACCACTTTAAAGATCTTAATTATTGAAAAATAAGTAAGAGAGAGATATACTGAGAGATAAAAAGTAGAGAGAGAGAGAGAGAGAGAGTTTAAGTTTTTTTAGAGTGTACCTACGAGCTGCATAAGTTTATATCGCTATCTCCATTCTGCTATCCGAGTGTCGGATGATTTACAGGTTACCATTCACAATTCGTTGACATTTTGAACATTCGCACTAAGCGCTGTAATAAGAACTGTTTAAAGTAATAGTAAATAGTAATTTATTATAACACAAGAGTTAAATAGATATTAGAACTCCTTTTCTGATATGGATTCCATCTAGGTACAAACTTCTTACCAATTTTAGCTGCCGGCGTTTGTTTTTCCAAGTGTGTATTATCTGAACCTCTTCAAGGTGCATGTGAACAGAATTCTTTTGGGTACACTCGCTGTATGGTAGAAATCATCTTTGCCCTCCAGGCCAGATGGAGGTCAAGAGTGAGACCGTTTCTAAATAAAAAACTTAAGTTGGTTTTTAATTATTTAAAAGTTTAATTACATCGTCTAATTAAACCCAACTTATATAATTCATCTTAACAACTCGTTATAACCCGCTGCTAGACACAGGTATTTCCCATTGATGAACAAAATTTCCTCAATCGCCCGCTAGCTTGTACAATCTTATTCTTTACATATTTAGAGGCTTTTATCCTGAACAGATATGTCAGCCCCATCATACTCTAATTTTAATGACAGTTGAAAAAAAAACTTACTAAGAATATTTAGAATTATTTATTGGTGTTTCACAACCATATAAACTTAAAAAATTTAGCTTCTAACAGTGTGTAAGTAGACCAACATATTGAATTAAAAAAATTGTAGGAATTTTATCGCGTTTACTTAACTTATTTTTAATTCCCGACATTTCGGGTGCTTTACAGCACGGAGAGTACCGAGATGTTTGACGTCCCAATATCTTAGTTATCCCGGATACCTTCAGTTTTTAAATATTATTATTGGTCCGATCTACGCAGAACGAGAAAAAAAAAGGAGAGTAGGAATGGTGTTCTTTCGCAAGAATTTGTGGTTTATGAAATCTGATGTAATAATGGGGACGATCTTGAACATGTTTACAGACTACAAACTTCCCAGAGCATCAGTGCTTCACGTCAGCTTCATGTTCTTTTGCGCGGGTTTTCATAGATATTTTTGTTTGTCCAAAGTAAGCGTAACTTTCACGATCTAGCATGTACATTCTTGCATCTTGTAGAGGAATATTACAATTGATGGATGGTAAAAATTTACTAATCTTCTTCTACAGCTTGTAGTATGTTTTAATGGAAGCTCGCTTCAAGATGTAGCCAACTTATCTGTGACTCCTGTGACATACGGTAGTACAGCAGATACACGCTCGACTGTGGCCGGCTTCACTCGTTCACTGTGACGTAGGCGAGGGACCCGAAGCTTGTTGTCTTGAAATACTTGCTTGACGTGCTGAAGCTCGGCGGCCAGATGATTTCTGTCACAGATCCCTTGTGCTCTCTAGAACAAAGATTTAACTACGGTAGCTAACTCTGAAGGATGATGATGAGATTCAACATTTAAATATCAGTTGGTATGCGTCTTTTACCTATACACAGTGTGACCAATAGTGTTACCAGGATTTCAGATGATTAAAACATCTAGGAAAGGTAAAGAACACTAACTCCATTGTGAATTGTGTTTTAGAGTTTATGAAGTTAAGGTGTTCTAAAAATGTAATAAAGACCAACCCAGCTGAACAAACTCCTAAATGTACTTATTTATCTTAAAACTTTCCATCAATAATCCTCTTTCTCTCTTTAATTTAACACATACATCATTAGTAAATGCTGAATGTCATCAATAGACTTCCAAACTTCAATGTTATGGAAATCAGCCTTCATCATTAAGTGGACAAATATTTTGGAGGCATAGTGACCTCAGCCAAATTTAGATACAGTTCTACTATACTAGCTGGTCACCAAATGTTTGTCACGGCGGTCAGTTTCAACGGATACTTGTTATCTGCGCAAGATAGGATTATAGTGCCCAAGTATATGTGAAAGCACAGGTTCACTCCCTGTTCCCTCACTCTTATAGTCTGATGGGGCGGTAATCTGACACGATGACTGCCTCGTTGGTCTAGTGGTTGTAGTAATGCGACTGCTGATCATGAGGTCCTGGGTTCGAATACCGGTTTGGGCCAAAAATCAATTGTTGAGTTTTTCTGTCAAGAAATTCTCAGTAGCTGCCCGGAGTCAGGAAGTTGGTGGTGTCTCACCCCCGTGCCTCGAAAAGCAAGTAAAGCCGTTGGTCCTTCGCCTGATCTCTCTCCCGTTCGTGTCAGTTTACCGTCCCATCGGATTACGAGAGTGAGGGAATATCTCTATTGGGCACCTGTGCTTGCGCATACATTTGGGCACTATAATCCTGTCCTGCGCCGATGGCTAGCCTCCGTTGACGCAGGCCGCCGTGGCCGAAATTCGGTCTGGAAGATATTATTAATCTGACACGATCGGATAGAGATCAGGCCAACGCGGCCTTACGTGCCTTACGTGATCAGGCTTTACGTGCGTTCCGAGCCAGGGGTGAAACACCGCTAAGGAGCATTCAAGATTGTTACTTCTTTTTGTTGGATTGACACATCAGTATAATATTAAATAAACAAAACGTTTATCAGCTTTTGATTTCGTATATCTATGATAACAATATTTTTTTTACAAACTACTTAATACTCTAAATATTCTTTTTTCATATTTCTTTTGAATAATTTTTTATGCCTCCTAGGTGAATGGTAAATATTAAATTTAATATAAATTGTATTTCTTAGCTAATCTGATAGAAATCACTTAGATGGCATATACAAGTTTGCACACGTTTTAATCACTATCAATATTAACCATTATTATTCCGAAATCAAAGTATTCATCGCGAAATTTTGCCAATGCGATAAACTTGTTGACGTATATGTATGAGCTATCTATATACCACATTAAAAATAAAAGTAAAGTAACAGCCTACATACGTCCCACTGCTGGGTACAGGCCTCCTCTCATTTCTGAGAGGGTTTTAGGGCAAGCAAATGTCCGCCACGCTGCTCCAATGCACGTTGGCGAACTTCGCGTGTCGTCGAAATATTTTTTTTATTTCCTAGACATGCAGGTTTCCTCGCGATATATCGTTTTTTTACTTTTATGGTTATATTGTATTAACTAAAAAGTAAGTTTTAAATAAAAATAAATTTCGGACGTGCTGCCCAAATGTGTGTTGCTGATTTTTTTAAAGTAGTCAATCACGCACGTTTCCTCCCCTTATTTTCTTTCATTGCCGAACACGTGGTAAATCAGCACTTAAAATTGCAATCAACAAATTCACATCGGGATTCGAACCCAGGTTGCTCGCGTACTGTGGAGTTTACAGCGAGCGTGAACTACACGGCCCTTGCACACACTTATCTTGCAAACAATAAAGATCGAGTAGGAATCACGCCCTGCGGCGTTTTCAACTAGGTAAGTCGAGTTTAAAATAGGCACGCGTAGCTGCACACGTGGGTCCGTTTCCGGCGATCGAAATAGCCCCGACCGGTTGTTTTTGTAAATGTTTGTACTGTGTTTTCAAAACCTACACGTTTCTTGCTTGACCAGTATAGAGTTCAAGCAACCCTTATTATTAAAACTATAACATGGCAGAAGGAGAATTGTCAGATAACAAAATTGAAAATGATGAATGAGCTAAACCCGTATGTATACTGGATGTCCTTTTTAACGTCTGGAAAAAATAAGGTGTAGCATGAAACGGAGTAGAAGCCTATGGCACTGATATTAAAAAAAAAACAGCTGAGTTGATACAACCCTCTTAACTATTTCTCTGCTATCAAACAGCAATGCCTCTAGTGCTGTATTCAGGTTTGGAGGATGAGAATGCTTGTATTAATCAGGTTGTTTCATATGGTGACTATAGAGAACCATTTTTATTTTGATGTTAATCGAAGACAGATGTGGGTGTCTATGGGACACAGCATCGTTTTACTGTCATGTAAACTGTGTGCTTTTTATCACACCTATTCTATAAAAAATTCCAGAAATGGGTTATGAAAGTAAAAATTCAGGCACTGCAACTGGTCGGAAAAAGTTAAAAGGATTGTTACTGTCTTGACGGACACCCAGGCAGAAGACAAGATAGAAAGTACCACCTGCTAGTAAAATCAATCAAGTTTTATTCAAAATTCTTATACTTAACCGCCATATAGGTTTATATGTCATGTGTCATATATACGTATATATATTTATATCCTTAGGTAGTGGACATGCGTTGGGGAGTCCGAGACGAGGCCACGGACGATCACATGACTACGGAACTTTGCATGCGGGAGATTAAGAACTGCCAGAGGCTTTCAATGGGGCCAAACTTCGTGGTATTTCTGGGACAAAAGTACGGTTACAGGTAAGGTTATTAGGTTAATATTATAAAATAAAGTTAATTGTAATCAGAAAAGCTGAATTGTTTTTACAATTAATGAAATTACAAGTATCAATATTGTCTGCCGAGCCCTGTACTACCGGGCACACTTTGCAACCTCTAAATAAAATGTATATATATATATATATATATATATATATATATATATATATATATATGTATAAGAGCGCTAAGAGCGGTCAAGTAAGACGCGAAGCACGTGTCGTATTATCGTCGATGGTGTGTCTTACCTGGAATAGCTACTAGACTGGAAAGGATACGGTATTAACATCAACAATGGCGAGCACATCACTTATCTTTGATTTACCGACGATATAGTCCTTATGGCAAAATCGCTGGAAAACCTAAGCACTATGCTAAATGACCTCAATAGTGTCTCCAAACGGATAGGTCTTAAGATGAACATGGACACAACGAGAGATATGTGTAACTTCCATGTCATACCTATACATTATAGTTCTTGGGAGCACTAAGCTCGAAGTTGTTAACGAGTATGTTTAACTGGGACAAAATTCCGACTAGGTAAGTCTAAATACAACCGAGAGGTCAATCAACGGATTCAACTAGGCTAAGCAGCTTTCGGGAGATTACGACACATCTTCTCGTCAGGCAAACCTCAAAACCTGAAAACAAGATTGTACAACCAGTACTTTTTGCCAGTGATAACCTTTTCATCTGAGACGTGGTTCTTCACTGCTGGCCGTATGAGGAAGTTCAAGGTCGATCAGCGAACTATGGAGAGGGCTATGCTCGGGGTTTCGCTGCGTGATAGAATCATAAATGAGGATATCCGCAGTAGAACCAGAGTAACCGACATAGCCCAAAGTATTAGTAAGCTGAAGTGGCAATGGGCCGGACATATAGCTCGAGGAACCAACAAGCGATGGGGAAGAAAGGCAGCACTGATTGATTTTCCTGGTCTTGTAATTATATTACCTAATGGATAGGTGAATATTTTGTACGTAATAATATTTGATATTTTTGCTGTTTATCACTGCGATATACAAATAGGTACAGAAAGGTAGAAAGGACTAAGGAAAGTCATAACTAGTTTTTTATTATAACCTCGAAACAAATTAACTCTTTTTAAAACACTTTTTTATTTTAACTTTCGTCACTTTTCCTTTTAATTTTTTTACCAAAGAATTAATTAATCTTCTGCGATTGAAACTTTTATATCTGTCGTGGATTGTTTCAACATTTTTAATTTTGCTTTTTATTTACGTCCTACTTTAGAGCGCAGGCCTTCTCTCCTTTCTGTCAGGGATTTTAGTTTAAGGAAATAGCCATCTCACTGTCCCAATACGTTATGGCGACTTCACATTATTTTCATAATTTTTCATACAAGGTTTCCTCAAGATATTTTTTTTTCACTATCGAGCTCATGGTAAAATAGCAATTTATAAATTCATTAACGCCGGCGGGGATGAAACCAAAATTGCTCAAATATTTTGTAATTTATGACAAAAGCCCTAAGCTACCATAGTTCTAATGTATAATTATATACTAAGGGTAAATCTAATAATCAATAATGCCCTATTCTAGGCCAATACCAACCTACGTGCTATCTTCGGAGCTCCAAATGCTGCGAGACGAGCTAGCAGCTGGTGGAGTCGATGTAATTCTACTTGATACTTGGTATAAGAAAGATTCGAATGCTGTACCACCTGTTTCAGTCTTACAACCAATTTCTTCCATACTAGTAAATTTCAATAATAAGGTAAGGTTTAAAATTTTCTTTTAATATCAGTTCAATATTTCCCTGTGCGGTGTTGGCGTATTTCATTATTCCATTTTATTCCGTAGTTTTTTTTTATAGAACAAAGGTGACAAACGAGGATACAGTCCACCTTGTGATAAATGGATATTGTGGCCCATAGACATCCACATCAATCCTCGATTAATAATCAAAATGCAGATGCGATGTTACTCCTGAATACTGAGAGATGGAACGCCTCGTTTAAATAAAAAGGGTCATCGTTTCTCTCACTACTCGCGATACGGAACACAACAGAATAGGCTACTATTTAACGCTGTTATTCTGTAAAATCATGGTTCTTCTCTTGTTGCTTGCCGATCAATTCGTACTACAACTCTAATATAGCTGTAGCGTGGTCCTATCACGTGCTAATGTCGTAAGAGATTTCTTTAAGTTCTTCTTTAAGCCAGGCACAGAATTATATTCAGACCAGGAGCAGCCTCAAAGTTGTGAGACTACAATTATCAATTCGCCTACCAAGTGTAACATTTAAGGCAAATCCTCTCCAAAACTATAGAGATAAAAGAAACTGAATATCGCAGTGTGTAAGTAACGATGTAATAAATCTTGTAATAAGTACTTGGAAGCAGGCACAAAATTGTTCTTTGTTTTGTTATCCTACCAGTAAAAACGAATTCCCTGACTATGTTTAGAAGTATACCCCAAATGTCCTACTATAATGATGATGTAGGAAATCATCATATAATAATATTCATGTATCCTCATATAATAATATATTTAATATCCGTAATTTATTATATCCTATAATAGATAAAAGCTTTTTTGCTTCTAGAGAGTACCAAAGCTACAAGCTGAGGACCAAGCGATTTGGTGGGACACACTCGGAAAGATGCAAAAACTATTCCGCAAAGCTTCACAGCAGTTATACAATTCTGGCAAAATTGACAAGGATACCATGCACAACTATTTTATGTCGGGTAATATTATTAACTATGACATTATATTATTTATTAAATAATAAACTCCATAGTTTGATATACCATATCAGGCTCGAAGGACCAAATTGTTTAGTAATGGTTATAATACAAAAACTGGTCACTGATATTTCATGTAATGACTTGGTATGTTAACAATAAATTATAGCAACTTTTTCGGCAAATGTTAGCTGTACTTCAGTATGTGCACCCTGCTGATTAACGGACGCTCTGGCGACTGCTAATAGCAAATTCATCCAAAAACGGTAAACTCTAAACTTTACAAACAAGTGATGAGCAGCATTATTTTTTTATAGTAGTTGTAGTTCTTGTGTTTTTACACTATCGTATATTTCTTTTTCTTTCTTTTTCCAGGGGCGTGCATTGTATGCTCATATGAATGTACAATAAATCCATTAAGTCAGTATTAAATCTACGGTCAAGATCAATAGACGTGTTATTTATTCCCCGAAACTCCCAACCTTATATTAAAATCGAGATGACAAACAAACTTACATTCCACCTGATGGCAAATTGCCACTGCAGCCCATGGACACGAGAAATACGAAGCCACCATTGTGGACTAAGATAGAACGTCGCACACGTTATTATTGTACTGGCTTACTTAATTCTTTCAAATGTAACGCAGCAGTGAAGGCTCTGCTATTTGGCGACATAAATAAATCTCTGTGCGAAATATCAGTGCTTGCATTTTTGTGTTATGTTCAGTAGAGTATATAGAGCTAGTTTAGGTTGACAGGGGGATTGGTAACAGCAGTTTTTTATTATTAAAAGCTACTGCTAATTACGGTCAACTGTAGTTTTTGTTATTTTTAGTTATTATTAGTAAAATACTGCTGCTCAACTCATGTTTCATTTCCATCTGTCCATTCTTATTACATTACACATACATTATTCATTGGATGACATATTAGTAGTTTTTTTTTAAATAGGATAAGGGTGACAAACGAGCACACAGTCCACCTGAAGGTAAATGGATGCTGTGGCCCATAGACATCTACATTTAACCTCGATTAAGAATCAAAATGCAGATACGTTGTCACCCTTGAGGACTATGATGGAATGCCTCGATTCCAGTAAAACGTGTCTCCGGTTCTCTACACTCACCATATGAAACGCAGCAGCATCAAGCTGTTACTTTTTACACTGGTATTCAACGTGCGCGTGGTCCTTCCCCGGTCGAGCCGACCCATTCATGCTACAACCATAATAGCTACAGCGTAGCTCTACCACGTAGTTATTAGAAGTTTTTCTCACACCCCAGCGACGACGTTTAATTAACCGATATTATTTAATCCTTTCAGTAACTGAACGTGAAGTTATCAACGGAATTCTTAATGTTAAGAACACAAAAAATCATTGTCTCGCTTACGTTAGGTACATCAACAATATAAACCTTCAGAACCTAAAGAAAGCCGGCAACTTCGTGGACATTCTTAACAGGAGCTTAGATGCAGAAGCTTCCAAACTATTGGCTGATCTAAGAGATGTGAGGTTGCCAGAGAAAATTGAAACAACAAACATACAGAAGTAAGTAGAAGAAATCAACTTAGAATCTGTTTTATGTTAGTAAAACCAACTGTGCATTTTTAATAGACGAAAAATTATTGATATTATTTTTCTATTGTATATTTGAAATTAGTTATTTTATTCACTGACTCTTTTATCTAAGAAATCATTCTGGTACACTACTCATATTTACCACCGCTTCTACTTCGGTTTCATAAAAATTACACAAAACATTTCTGTATATGTATAAGGTATATGTCTATTTTGAAAAAAATATTTTAATATTTATGTAGGAAATGAGCAAAGCTTAACTGATGATTAATTGATAGCTAACTCAAGATAACAGGTGCGTTGCCGGTCTTTTATGGGGAAGTAAGGTAATGGGACCAAAAAGATCCTTAGTCATTTACAAGGTTCCTTAGTCATGTCAATACTACTGCTGGTGACAATAAATTTCAAAATTCGCTGATTAAGGAATAACATAAAACATAATGGTGTTACCAATTATGAATTAAATATAAAATTAAAAAACCCTAACTCAAGAACGTAAGACATAAGTAATGATCGTATTATTCTTATCTCTCTATCTTCATCCGCGTGAAATTTATTACGATTGGGTTTCATGAGCTTCAATTGTTTTTCTAAAATTAAATCAAAAAATTAAATCTAATTTCTTTTTCTAAAATAAAAGTAGCCAAAATTACTCCCTATAACATTAGCTACCTGCCAGTGAAAGTTAGAGATTAGTCGAAACAAACAGACAGAGAGACAACAATATTTATTTAATAAAAAGCTGTTATTTTGTCATTACAAACCGACACTTATACTTTATTTAATTATATGGATGTATAGATTAACAAATTTAATTATAAACCATTTTTTTAGGTATACTGTTGAATGGATTGGTCGCGATGGACTTGACACAGAAACTCATGGAGAATATCTAAACCACTTTATATCACACTTCTACAAAAATATTATCAAGCTCGTTGACAGGTTCGTTTGAATTTAAGAAATAATGCAATTTTTGACCGCGGCACCTCTTTTTTATCTTTTGTAAAAGAACGTAACCTCCACACTAAGATTTGATTCTGTTTCGTGGGCAGTTTACACATATAAATGTAGCGGCGCTGTCATCGCGCCACTAGCACACCGAAACACACCGCTCCCCCGGGCAGAACACCTTGCCCGGTGGGAGATCTCCCCTTTTCCTACCACGGTCACAGTGGTGACTAACCGACATGATCTGAACACGCAACCAAACAACCTTCGGAAACTTCAAGCTTCATCATCGTCATAGAATACTCCACCCATTCGCTCTCGAGTAGATATCGTCTGCAGTCTTCATATCCTGCAAGCCATCTAGCTTCACAAGGTTCATCGCAGCACTGGAATAATAATGCTTCCTGTTCCTTCAAGCTACTCTCTGCGTCATACAGTGTTCGGCACGGCTCTGAGCCTTACTGCTCGCCTCTGCCTCACGGCACTCTCGCAGATTACTTGCCTTCTTCTCGACTCACCGCAGACTACAAGGCAATCTCCTGGCACTTGCACATTCGTCGACTGGCAACGAGGCTGCACTATCGACCTCCGGTCTGAGCAGGGGGGTGATGTAGCGGCGCTGTCGTCGCCGCCACAAGCGAAAAACACACCGAAGCCTAAATCGCGCTATCAACATTCCGAATCATAAACAGTATATATAGAACATCTCCGAACTATCACATGGAGTGTTGGCCGCTCCCCGGGCGGAACACCTTGCCCGGTGGGAGATCTCCCCCTTTTCCTACCACGGTCACATAAATTTCACAAGAGCAAACATTCAGACCCGGAACAATTATTATTTGTAGCCCTTACAAATACTTGTTACATGCGGGATTCGAACCCTCTCTAAATGATTATGGTAGTAGCACGAATAGGTTGGCGTGTCCGGGGTTGAACCACGCTCTCACAGAATACCAGCGTAAAATAGCAGCTAAATGCCGCTGTTACGTAAGTCGTGAATGTAGAAAACTGGAGATCCTTTTTACTGAAAAGAAGGCAATCCATCTTAATCCTCGGAATGTCAACGAATCTGTATTTAGATTCGTAATCGAAGATTTATGTAAGTGTCCATTAAGATGTTAAGTGTGTGATGTGTATTCGTTTATCATTCATATTCTATAAAAAATATAGGAAGGCCTGTTTTCAGCAGAAGACTTTGATAAGCTCTAATCAATTAGAAATTGATAAGTCGCCTTCATATCTATTTCAATAAAATAATACCTATAGTATTATTTAATTGTATGGAAGCGATACAGAAAAACCATATTAATAATATTTAGGGAGAGGAAGATATATACATAAATTACTTTTAAAAAGGAGTTATTAGCATTAAATTAAATCAAGGTTTAATAAAAATAGCACTGTTATTCCCTACGCTACAGTACAACCAACAAAAGGTCGCTCACAACACTGATTTACTGCGCGACCCTCTTACAATCAGGGTAGGTCGTACTCAACTCGATTGTATTTAGATTGTGTTTACATAGAGTTGTTAGCATTTTTATTATTAAAAGATATTTAATATACTATGGGTATTTTTATTTGTTGTATCACATCACTTATACAAAATCCTCGTCATCATCTTCACCATTACAGTCCATCACAAGTCAACTACTGAACATAAGTCTCTCCATGGCCTGCAACAAAACACTGTTCTGAAAATTCCGAAAAATCAGAATATTGCACGCCTCATAACTCGATGCGTTATCAAGCTGACTCTTGACATGTCAAGGTCAAGCAATTTTGTGTTCTTAAAATGCCTCTATCATAACCACATTTCACTTATACGATAATATGAGTAGCCGTATATCAAGAAAACTTTCTGAATAATCCATCTTACATTTTCCAAAAAAAATTATTTTATATTGCTACTTTAAAAAAATAAACAGCCTGAAAAAATTTCGTGTACGTGTGGATGTTGATTTTGTATGAGGTCACGAATACGGTCTTTTTATTAGCTTCAGAATTACATCAACTGCTTCCCTATTTTATATCAATAGACTAATACGCGTGGTTTGTTAATAAAATGATTTTCAACTCTTATTAGTTTTATTGCTATTAAAAATTTAAAGGCGCTTTTATATTGTTTTAGCTCTTGATAGACAAAGGACAAATGTACCATACAGCCTATATTGATTTTATACTTTGCTTAGTCGATTTACTTTGTTAAAAATTATTAATTTTTCCCTGTAGGTAGCACTACCAGTTTTAATGATAGAGCGCTAAATTTAAATCCGCAAATAATATATTTTGAAAGTCAGGAGTACAATTTATTTTTTTATCAACGTTAAATAAAACGCTCATGAGGCGGGCACTTCTGATTTTTCAAATAGTTTTATACTATTTATGCAATATAACAACAAAATGCATCTGCTTCAACATTATGTTGCAGTGATATAACCATACGTGACAATATACAGTCGTGAACCACCCCTAACAGAAGCGTTTCAAGCTTACCAGGAGTGGTTAAAGGGAATATTAGTAATGTTAATTAATAAGATTACTAACGTTTTTTAATAAAAATAAAAAAATAAAAATACGTAATATAAGTAGACTGGTAAAAAGAAACAGCTTCAAGGTGCGCAAAACTGGTATACCGCAATCGTTCATCAATCTGCCAGACGTTGCGATTAAGGTAGAGATCCTGCTTACACCGGAAGAGGCCATCTCAAACAATGAATTTTTATGGAATGATAATAAAGATTGGGATAGGGTGACAAACGAGCACGCAGTCCACCTGATGGTAAGTGGTTACTGTGGCCCATAGACATCTACATTTATCCTCGATTACGAATCAAAATTCAGATGCATTGTCACACGTGAGGACCAAGATGGAATGCCTCGTTTCCAGTTAAAAGTGTCTCCGGTTCTCTACACTCACCATATGAAACACAGAATATTTTAGGCTGGTATCCTGTGAGAGCGTGGTCCTTCCCGGGTTATCCGACCCATTTGTCCTACAACTTTACTACCAGGATAACTGCAGCGTGGCTCTACCACGTAATGAATCTTTCTTATAATTCTTTCTTATAAACTACAGAGCAATGCGTAAAGAAGACAGTAGTGCTCAAGGCCAAATCGTTACGGAGATCCTACAACATTTGCATGCGTGCAATAACTCTGTTAAAGTATTCCACGGCAGAGAAGATGATCTTATATTTATTGAGAATTACATGAAAAACGACTCCGACAAGCCCCTTGTTCTGTATGGAGAAGGTAAAAAGTTAATCACACTTTAATTTACTTCGTTTTTTCTAGTGGCATGTAAACTGGCTTTTTCAGTAGTAAACGAGCTGGTGAATAAACACTTGGAACTTTTCATTGCTACTTCAGACAGTTATTTAAATTTATTAAAATTTTATGCTATATGAAATTTTCAATTAATTTCGTGAATTTTAAATTAATTTAGTGGAAAGTTAATTTTTTTATCCCCGTCCATGTCATTTTCTCTTTTGTAACTTGACTTTTGTTCTGTCTTATACTTTCCATAAATTAGTGTTTAGTTTGGTTTAGGTTTTACTTACATCTTCATTAAAAACTCGTTTTTTTTTTACCAAGAAACCTCAAGACAAGACGTGATAGACTTAACGACTAAACTTTTGTAATATTGTGACATAAACACAATATTTTAACCGACTTCAAAAAAGGAGAAGGTTCTCAATTGGACCGTATTTTTACCCCAGAACTTTCTAAGTGAACTGATTTCGATGATTCTTTATTTGAAAGTTGGTACTTTTCATGTGATCAATAAATCTGACAAGTGTAGTCGAAGTCAATTGGCTTTGACTACATAGATAATGTTCTCATTTGAAGTCAGTTATACAAATGTTTTACCACTTGTTTAGCTTAATACTTTTTCCAATAGGAAAATGCCTAAGCGTATATTTGCCTTATAAGGGCACCTACTGATGGCAGTAATATCGTGACCTAACTACAATGTCAAAAGTTTTTTATAAATCTTAAGGCACTTTTTCCGATAGGAAAATGCGTATGCGATTACCTGCCGCATCGGATTATATCGAGCTTTCACACATTGAAAACCAAGGGGTTTTACCTTTTTTATGATTTTGAACCTGGCATGGCATGGCACTTTTCTATGGAGAACTTGAGAAGACCTCGCCAACACTAGTATTTTTCCCGTGTTTTATATATACAAAATATAAAATAGATAAAATGACGACCTGATAAGAGATTCAGGAAGTCGATACATGCAGATAGCTCAGATCTGTGCTTTGTTGCGTTTCTTGGGGGACGTCTATGTTCAGAAATGGACTCGTGATGATGATTAAAAAAAATTTTTTGGTCAATTGCGTGTAGCTTGTTGCTGCGCTACTGAGCCGTCAAAAAATAACTCAAAGTCGCTAACGTCATATTAACTTTCCAGGTGGCTGTGGCAAAACCAGTCTCTTAGCGAAGAGTTCAGCAATGTCACTAGAAACATGGTTCGCTGAAGTGCGACCCATAAACGTGATCAGGTTTCTTGGAACTACTCCCGATTCAAGTGCTCTTACACCGACTTTAGTTTCTATCTGTCAGCAGGTATGATTTATAGAGGGAAACACACCTGTTTTGAATTTATTATTTCCTATAGGTTGGCGAAAATAAAATGTAAAAAATTTATCGGTTACTTACAAACTATAAAAGTGGTAGTGTATATGTTTATTGCCACATTTAACAACTCTTCAATTTATAGATAAATCTTCAAAATAGTAATAAAACCCCTTGCATTTAGGTTATGGAAAGGTAACGTCTAAAAATAACTTAAGAAGGCTATTTATGTTAACATAACATAACATAAACACTCGCCGCCTGACACACGGAAGGGCAGGTAGATACTACGAACTGTCATTTGGCACGATCCTGACATACCTCTCTCGCGTCCTTTATATCGATTTATCTACGCATACTTGTTTTGGGTACTCTTATATTTTGCCCATCTTTAACATATCGCCAATTTTGTCGATAAACTTACGTCTCGGATGACCCTTGCCGACTCAGCCGGTCACTGCTGCAACATAAATTTGCTTTGTTACTCTTTCCTCACTCATTCTTTCTACATGGCCAACCACCGAAGCGTTCCTTTCCTAACAATGGTGTGGTGGATAGATTTGTGTAGTGGATAGATGTAATTATTGACAGGAGCTTAACGAATACATTAAGAAGCCCACTAAGAAGGCTCACTAAGAGGCTCTCCTTGCAGAAGAGAGTCTCTCAGAGAAAAACTTAAAGAAATGAACACATAATCATTAACCTTACAGCATATTTACCAAAATTTAATATATATATTCACTAAAGTAAAAGTAGATAAAATAAAATGTGATTGACATTTTATAAACATTAGGACTCCATCATCGATAACAATCAATAATTCATTCTTGAGGCAATTTATTCGCTTTTACTACAAAGTCCCAGAAAATATTAAAGTCTCTCTATTACCAAGCTTAAAGTTTTCGTTCAATAAAGACCGTATGAAAAGCGTTATTAATGAATAAATTGTGGATAATAACTCCTGGGAATAAGGTGGTCGCTTCCAAGCTGTTCTTAAATAAGTTTTATAAGTAATTGTACTGCCTGTATTTTATTGTTTAATTTACTTTAAAAGATCCTGATAGGTTTTATTCTGATTCTTTGCAGGACAAAGGTTTTTTCGAACCAATCGAAACATTAAAAAATATAACGATCAATAAGTATTCTTTGTACTCTGTATACTGAATGATCTTTTTTACTTTCTGGGAAAAAATAGGGTCTAAAAGGTGAAGGAAATGCAAGCCTATGGCACTGATATTTCATAATTTTATTTTTATTTTACATTAGCATATTATAAAATTGATCTATCAATAAATACCACAAATTTTAAATAAACTTGCGGAACAAAAAATAAAAACGAAAATGTTGAACTAAATGAACAAATCGATTAAAAACTATTGAAATTAAAATAATACGCATCAAATTAGTAGTACTTTTTAGAAAAACATATTAAAGTTGCAAATTTCTACGAGATAGATTTTTCATCCAAGTTTAAGATACTGTGGTGTTAAAAAAGGTACTACTTCCTTGATGTCCATTGGCTTAAAAAATAGTGCACTGAATGAAGACTTAAAAACAAAAAAACATAAAACAATTTTCAATAAAACTAACAAGTTAATATCTATTTCATTAT